AGGGACGGCTAGCGCAGATAGCCCTCGTGTAGCTTTGCGCGAAATTCAAAACAAACAAACATTACTTGTTTGTTTGTAGTTAAACACAAAGCTATCTGTACTCTACCCACCACGGGTATCGAAACCCGGTTTTCAATATTGTAAGTCCACAGACATACCGCTGTACCACTGGGGGGATGGGGCATGTTGTGTAGGATGAACAACCGTAATTTTCAAATCAGCAATCACTTTTTTCACAAAACATATTAAGTACCATATTTGTATACCGGAATTTGATTGAACATTTTGGGAAGTATTTTATGACTGTAAACACTGTTCTGTCTTTTACAGCCACCGTAATAACGAGAAGTATTGGACCAACGCTGATATCGACACCTGGGCAAAAGAAATTGCTGGCAACCGACTTATTCTTGAACGTTTTGCAAACATTACAGATAACTCTATTGTTGGCGTTCGTTCTCCATATCTTCGGGTAGGGGGTAACAACCAATTTGCCATGATGGAAGAACAAGCCTTCCTGTATGACTCCTCTATCAACGCTCCCCTTAGTAATCCCCCTCTCTGGCCTTATACCCTTTACTTCGAAATGCCCCACAAGTGCCATGGTAACGGACAACATTGTCCTACTCGTTCTCATGCTGTTTGGGAAGTTGTCATGAATGAACTGGACCGACGTGATGATCCTAATTTTGATGAAGAGCTATCAGGTTGCGTCATGGTGGACACTTGTAGCAATATTATTACTCGAGACCAGTTCTACGATTTCCTTAATAACAACCTGCGACGTCACTACAATACCAACCGTGCTCCACTCGGTCTTTATTTCCACGCTGGATTCTTGAAGCTCAATTCCAAATTTTTAGAGGCTCTAATCACCTGGATAGACGAATCTCTAGAGAAGAATGATATCTACTTTGTCACCATGACGCAAGTTCTTCAGTGGATGCAAAACCCAACTGAGCTCAGTTCCATCCGGGAATTTGCTCAATGGAAAGAGAAATGTGACATCAAAGGTCAAGCATACTGCAGTATCCCTAATGCTTGTCCGACAACCACTAGGGAGTTGCCTGGCGAAACCAACAGATTACACACGTGTATGGAATGTCCTCACAACTATCCATGGTTGGAAGACCCCACTGGTGACTTTTTTGCTTTTAAAAAGTAAATTAACTTAAGGAAATAACTTAAATATAACAACTCTAGTGCTCATCTTTAGGATTTGCCAAGATTCCAATAGCATTCTTTGTATTTCCTGTGTGACAAGTTTGAAGCACGAAATACTGCAACAGCTTCAATTAAGGCAACAATGCGTTTTCTTCATCAACTCCAGCAACTTTTATTTACGGAAGTTAACGTAACTTTAGCTAACGGTGTTCAGTTAGGATCTCAATTATCCGATTGCCATAAGGAAAGAGAAATGACACTGTTTTGACACAGAAATATCTAATAGCGATTTTCTCCAGTCTTAAAGGTCTAATTAATGTCTCGGTCATGATAAAGGGCGCTTAAATTCTATCTCACGTGTACTCCTAAATAGTTTTGTATATAGCCTCTATTTGCTTATTTCAAGGAATTTTAAACATATACTTGTTTCACTCAGTTATTCCAGACCTTGAACACAAGGCTTTAATATTGATAGATATGTGGTTGATTAATGAGTACGTATTAAAGATTGAATAATGTGGGTTAGTTATCCACGTTTATTTGTTGTTAGTGAATATATATACCCATGTTAAAGGTTGATTGTTGTATTCATTTTCTTTCTGTGTATTAACAAGCATGATTTTGTTGCTAAGAAACAATGTTGAACCACTTATTGTACGACTATACTTTAATAAAGTGTACATTTTATACGTTTTACCGATTTTCTCTAGCGAATTATTACTCTCTTAAGTACATTTTATATAATTATAAATATTCTGTCCCTTTACAAAAAATAATCGAAATTACATAACGAAACTATTCTATAATAATAGAAATTACTTCGAACAGCATGTCAAAGGAATTAATTTATTTTGCTCAACAAAATTAATTTAATTAAGTCAAGTTAATAAATGCATGTTTGAAACAATATATCAATGAGATTTTAAATGGTACAAGAAGTGGTCAAACAATCAAATAGAAAAATGATTTGACACTCGTAGTTTGGTTATCGAGGAGAAAATTAGTTTGTGAACGATTATCAACGTATTAATACATTGATATATATATATATATATATATATATATATAAATTAAGATAAAATACGTAAAAGAAAGAAAAAAACGTAGAAGAAATGTTCATGTAACTCTTGATTTAAAAGTCTATTCAGATCATACGTGCAACAAACATTCTAAACGAATTGGTTCTTCAAGCAGTTAAAAGTCATTGAGTTTTTTTTCAAGAATGGCAGAGTGGAGAAGCACGATGATATTTACTGGAAGTTTGTGTGTACGTGTTATTGGCACGTGAGAGCGAGCGAAACAAGTCTTTGTTAAAATTCAGTTCTTAGAGAAGTAGAGCACTAAGGTACATGCATTAGTGACCATACTCTAAACTTTTAACAAAGAAAGAAAAGCGTTACAAAACCCCTTTTCTGCTAAACCATCAAAACAAAGTAGATAATGCTTCTGATGATAACAATACTAATGCGTGACCTATATTGAAGAAATTCCACAAAAAAACCTGTGGATGTGTAACTTCAGTACAAGTACAAAAAAAACAAAAAACAATAGAGAACAACAACACATAAAATGTATTTTAATTAAATTGGTTAGATATTACATCTTTGAATACCCGGTATCATCGCCGTCACAACAATAGAACAATCCCATTATGATACCGACCAGTGACATCTTGACAATACTGTGTTAAAAAATCTCAGTTCATTTTTTGAAGAGAAGAGGATATGAGAGAATTAACTCATGCCTACATAATAGTTTGTTAGAAAACCTAGATAGAATAATCAAGTACATGTATTGAGAAGTATTGTTCACCTATTCTTATGTCTTTTCAAACGTTCACAAACCGTTGTATGTAAACACGAAACAATAATAACAGAACATCGCGTGTGTTAATTGGTGCAAAAGACACAGTAAATGTACAAACTATCAGAAAATTGGAAATCAGAGAAGTTTGTTTCGTTGTTTGATACATTCGTGCGTTCTCTTTAATCTCAGGAAAAGCTGATGCGTGTGTTAGTTGGTGCAAAAGACACAGTAAACGGAAATAAACTATCAGAAAGTTGGAAATCAGAGAAGTTTGTTTCGCTGTTCATCGGCTTTTTCTGAGACTAAAGAGAACGTTTTGAAACTAGTTTATATGATTTCAAGTTTTTTGATAGTTTGTTCCATTGACTGTGGATTTTTACTATACAGGAAACTATTCGGAAAATAAGGGTTATGAAAACGATATCGAAGATACATATATACGACATTCGTGCAAAGTTTTGTCTATTATCAGTCCTTGGAACAGCCCTAATTTTTTCTCTCCCTCCCAAAACATATATATGTCCCCCAACTCTTCTCCGTCAAAACATAATGATAAAAGAGGAAACTGATAAAATAAACTAACCAGGGTTTTAATTGTCTCTAACCAAACTGCAAAAACATAATGATAAAAGAAGACATTGATAAAATACCCAGGGTTTTAATTGTCTCTAACCAAACTGCCAAAACATAATAATAAAAGAGGACGTTGATAAAATAAAATACCCAGAGTTTTAATTGTCTCTAACCAAACTGCCAAAACATAATGATAAAAGAGGACGTTGATAAAATAAAATACCCAGAGTTTTAATTGTCTCTAACCAAACTGCCAAAACATAATGATAAAAGAGGACGTTGATAAAATAAAATACCCAGAGTTTTAATTGTCTCTAACCAAACTGACAAAACATAATGATAAAAGAAGACGTTGATAAAATATAATACGCAGGGTTTTGATTTTCTCTGACCAAACTGCCAAAACGTACTAACTTCGTAGCACATGTACTGATAAGAAGCAAGAGACAATAGGAGTGAGAGCAGTACTTTTGTTTTCCTAACACTATAGAAACAAAAGAGTAACAAAGTTTGATAGTTTCTTATACAATATATCACTTTTGTTCTATCTTATTTTCCACATTCCGAAACAAAAAATATGCTAAATTGTTTCGAAGACTTCACTACCAGTTGATCTTAAATGCTCCAATACCACTAGAAAGAATAATGTATGGTAGGTAGTAAAACTACACTGTATACAAGTCTGTCTTTAAGGGTAATCAACTTAGGTGGCTGCCTCGGGCGCCACCTAATCATGGGGCTCCAATGCGAATAGCTCTAATACTTTCTGTTACATTAATTGTCAATAGGCGATTAAATCAGCACTATAAAAGAATAAGAAACTTAATATAAAATAAACATTACAATAGAACTAAAATTAAACTTAAACAATTATTTTCCATTATCAGTCCTGGTTGTCAACATTAAGTCATAATGGATGATGCCTGTCGTCATAGCACCCAAATGCGTAGGGGATATTTCATCTATCAGGCAAAATCCAGACGCTGATGTTAAACTAGCCAGCAGCTATTGAAAATCAGTTATGGATCAGGAGCTGAATGCTTACACCCACAACATCTCAACTCCTACTGCCTTTCGCTGTCTGCTACCAGTTGTAGGAAGGCAGTTACCCTTAATACTCGCACATAACATTGTCTATAGTCTACCACTGCTAAAATATGGACGGCTAGCGCAGATAGATCTCGACTAGCTTTGAGCGAAATTAAAAACAAACTAACGTTGAACATAAGTGGACATGGTCATGATAAGGGTATGGCAATCACAGCAGTGACATTAAGTAGTAATAATAATACCCTCATTTATGTGATGTTCAACATTTAAACAGTGCAACAAAACACTAGCGCAGGGGGAGGGGGAGGAAGGGGTGGAATATCAAACTGACGCTCCAAGGTCCCGAAAAGGATCTAGATCCTGACAAAGAAGTCTAGACCTTATGTGACATAGCAACTAAAAGGCCAGGTCAGAAGCCCTGGTATAGCCGTACTTAATTTTTAATTACCGAGCAGAAAGAATGCAGACATTGTCAGCAACACCTGCCAGCAAAGAATAATGGGACTGAGTGTCGTTTTAAAAACAAGTCCAGTAGCTTTGGACGAAATTCCAAGCAAACAAACATAACACAAAATACAGGAGACAAGTACAATGGTATCTTACGTAATATTTAGATGTAATTATTTCGTACAGGAATAAGTAGCTCATACAAAATCAGCAGCAAAATTAAGGTTTCCTATCGAAATTAGAGATGGTAGCGAACTTTCAATATCGTACATACTATTAAAGAAAATGAGTTTAGATGTTTCATCACTATGAAAAATATATTTTAACCCTTTAAGCACGGGCTCGGTCCGTCGGACCGACCTCATAACCATTTTGTGCTTATATTACGTGTGCTACTCTACTGCTCAAATCTGCGGAAAAAAGTTTGAAGCATATGTGCTGTAAAGAATATTTACAAAAATAGTACTATTTCTTCATTAAAATTCACGAAGGAATCAAATAAAGTTATTTACAATAGAAATTTGTAATTTGGTTCATTATTTACTACATTATATTTTTTGAAGAATTTGAAGGATTTTTTTTCAAAATCTTAATTTAAAAATGCTATTTTTACTTTAAAAAGTTTTATATTTTTACTTTAAAAAATTATTAAATATTATGTACAATTTTGCGCTCTATTCTACGGACCTTACCTGTAAACAGCAACTCAAATAGTTCAACAGTTATATTTCGCCTATCCCCGATCGCTATATTAACAAGAAGGGCCTGGCACAGCTTAGTGGTTACGGTATTCGACTCGCAACATAAGGATTCGAATCTCCGTCACCGAACATGTTCGCCCTTTCAACCGTGGGGCGTTATAATAGCGTGGTCAATCCCACTATTCGTTCATAAAAGCATAGCCCAAGAGTTAAGGTGACTGGGATTGACCAGCTGTCTTCCTTCTAGTCTATCACTGCTAAATTAGGGACAGCTAGTGCAGATAGCCATTGTGTAGCTTTGGACGAAATACAAAACAAAACCACACCAAAACCTAATTAACAAGAAGGTGTTAAAGTAGCTTAAAGTGAAGATACAATAGCAAAAAGAGTAGACAAATAATTTAAGGTTTGAGACATAGAGTTGACATTATTAACTCAAGCTACAAATCCCTATTTTGACTCTCCTAAATATCACAGCTTTTAGACATGGAGTCAAAATATGGATTTGTAGCTTGAGGAAATAATCTCAGCACTATGCGTCAAACCTTAAGCTTGTTTGTTTACTTTTTGTAATTGTATTTTCACTTTAAGCTACCTATCGTATTTCTGTAATTTTTTGAAGATCCGTAGCCCCCCTTTAAATTAACAATTTTTAATAACTTTGTTTCTTGAATTAATTTTTATATCCATCATGGACATATGTCTATATAATAGCATGAAATACGTAGTTAGTGTATGACGCTATCTTCGGTTTGTTTGTTTGTTTAAAATTAAGCACAAAACTTCACGATGGGCTATCTGTGCTCTGTCCATCACGGGTATCGAAACCCGGTTTCTAGCGTTGTAAGTCCGCAGACATACTGCTGTGCCACTGGGAGTTGCTATCTTCGGAATCATAGACAACCTTCGAATTGGCTTCTTGCAGATTGGATGGCTACTGCTCCTGATATCATTGTTACAATGTTATCATTGATACTGATACTGCATGTAGGATCACTATGATACATGATGATCAACATATCACATGTTATGTATATGCTTGTAAAATATATGTAGCTACTATATTTATACCCTGAGCTTTATGTGAAATCTGAAAACACTAGATTGGAGGGACTACTG